TATATTGATTTCAGTTACAACACAGAATACAAAGTATACAGTGCTCACTTTATATTATTTTTTATTACAAATATTTGCACTGTAAAAAAGTTTGTTTTCAATTCACCTAAAACAAGTACTGTAGTGCAATCTCTTTATCATGAAAGTTTAACTTACAAATGTAGAATTATGTACAAAAAAATGCATTCAAAAATAAAAATGTAAAATTTTAGCGCCTGCAAGTCCACTCAGTTCTACTTCTTGTTCAGCCAATCGCTCAGACAAAAAATTTGGTTTACATTTGTAGGAGATAATACTGCTCACTTCTTGTTTATAATATCACCTGAAAGTGAGAACAGGCATTCTCATGGCACAGTTGTAGCCGGCGTTGCAGGATATTCACATGCCAGATGCGCTAAAGATTCATATGTCCCTTCATGCTTCAGCCACCATTCCAAGGGACATGCGTCCATGCTGCTGATGATTCTGCTTGATAACAATCCAAAGCAGTGCGGACCGATGCATTATCATTTTCATTATGCTGAGTCACTTGCCACCAGCAGAAGGTTGATTTTCTTTTTTGGTGATTCGGGTTCTGTAGTTTCCACATCGGAGTGTTGCTTTTTTAAGAGTTCTGAAAGCATGCTCCACACCTCATCCCTCTCAGATTTTAGAAGGCACTTCAGATTCTTAAACTTTGGGTCGAGTGCGGTAGCTATATTTAGAAATCTCTCACTGGTACCTTCTTTGCGTTTTGTCAAATCTGCAGCGAAAGTGTTCTTAAAATGAACATGTGCTGGGTCATCATCCAAAACTGCTATAACATGAAATATATGGCAGAATGCAGGTAAAACAGAGCAGGGAACATACAATTCTCCCCAAGTAGTTCAGTCACAAATTTAATTAACACATTTTTTTTAATGAGAGTCATCAGCATGGAAGCATGTCCTCTGGAATGATGACTGAAGCATGAAGGGGCATACGAATGTTTAGCATAGCTGGCATGTAAGTATCTTGCAATGTCGTCTACAAAAGTGCATGTAAAGCCTGTACTCACTTTTAGGTGACATTGTAAATAAGAAATGGGCAGCATTATTTCCTGTAAATGTAAACAAACGTGTTTGTCTTAGCAATTGGCTGAACAAGAAGTAGGACTGAGTGGACTTGTAGGCTCTGAAGTTTTACATTGTTTTGTTTTTGAGTGCAGTTATGTAACAAAAACAATCTACATTTGTAAGTTGCACTTTCAGGACAAAATGATTGCACAGTATTTGTATGAGCTGAATTGAAAAATACTATTTCTATTGATTATCATTTTTACAGTACAAATATTTGTAATAAAAAAGAATATACACTTTGATTTCAATTACAACACAGAGTTCAATATATATGAAAATGTAGAAAAACATACAAAATATTTAATAAATTTCAATTGTTATTCTATTGTTTGAGAGTGATTAAAACTGATTAATCGCAATTAATTTTTTAATCATGATTAATTTTTTTTAGTTAATCGCATGAGTTAACGGCGATTAATCAACAGCACTAATGTGTATATATATATAAATATATATACATAGACATATGTTTCAGTAATGATAATAGAACTGCGCTCATCATCTACCTTTCATTAATGTTTCTTCAGATCACTGAGATCATTAATTAAGGAAATTTCACAACTATGCTATACTCTGTTGGAAAGCTGGTATAAAGCAATTCATTCTAGAATGGAAAGTTTATGAGATAATGGACTTTCAAATAACCACAATGTGATATATAGAAGCTAATTTTGCGGGGGGAGATTTCTAAATTTTCTAGCTGTCTACTCCAGTATATAAGTAAGCCAACATGGCTTTATGAGTAGAGAGATGAAAAACAATAGTAATAAAAATGTAAAACAATTTTTAAAGGTGTGCCCCAAACAAACACATGATCACGTGAGGTGTTTTAAAAGTTTTCTTGGCACTCATTTTGGATGATCTTCAAAGATTACCGGTTGCTTTACAATTCAGGAATAATGTGGCCATCCTTTCCAGCATTATGCACCCTTGTGTGTACATAAAAACAAATTTCAAAAAATACATATATATATATATATATATATATATTGGTAAATAAGATCCCAATCCTGAATTATGAACCACAGGGGGCAGAGGGATGTGTGTACATGTTTCTCAGTGCAGGATTGTGGCCTAAATATATTCCATCCAAAAAGAGGAATTGGGCATTGGCAAGGCAGGAAATGCTTAGTGAAGGACAAACACTCAGCTTGAACTTTGTACCCTCATTCACATTCCTTAACATATAGTCTCTGTTTGTCGTCATATAGATAATGCAATAAAAACTGGGATTTTGTATAAATCTCATATGCAGGCCATATATTGTACTGTCGTATAACACAGATGGTGCAAGATTTTGGGAAAATAACTGAGTGGGAAGAACCCCTTTGTATGCTGGGGTTCACCATCATTTTGACTACAAAAATTTAACATTTGTAGATCAGATTAAGGATGCAGAGGGGAAAATGAATATTTGTTATGGAAAATGAGAGGTAGACAGAAGGGGCAGGGGAGAGAAAGAGAGAGAGAGAGAGGGAAATACTGGAGGATAGACATTATGGAGAAAATGTAGGTAGAAAAGGGCTGATTGGGGGGCATGGAGGATGGAGAGTGACTGACTGATTGAATCAAATGAAGATTGAGAGATGTTGGGGTTACAGTATTAAAAAAATGGAAAGATCTGTGTGTGTAATGATTATGCCTTGTATTGTGCCTACATTGTAGCTGTCTAGAACTCATACTGTCTTTTTTGCTAGTAGTTTGTACAGTGCCTCATAATGGTCTCTTGAGTATGTGGGATGTTTGAAATGACTGTATTTTCCATACGTAGTGAACAACAGGTGAATTATTCAGGTCTTGCCAAACAATATATAGATGACTAGATGACACCATTACATCTTTGTGCCTCCTATTTGACGTCTTTTAATCATTCCTAAGGAACTTCCTTTCTGTGGTGGGGGAGTTCTTGCTTTTCTTTCCTTCTCTGTCTTTATTCCCTTTTGTTCTCTCATTCAATTGTCTTCTCAGCTCCAGGTATTTCCCACTTTTATATTCCTGCCATATTTTTTCATTTTCCACAGTTTCTTTATATTGTTTTTTTCCCTCTTCCTTACTCTCTCTACATATCTGTTTCCCCTTACATGTGTTGTTGCTGTTAATAGAATTATAACTGTTACTAATATTGAGCCTAGGAATCACAACCATGGATTCTTGAAGTTTATAGGTGTTACAGTAAGAATAATAATTAATAAATGGATGGTGGATGAGGATTAGCTGGAGGTATACAGTATATTATTGACAAATTCAGAATACTATTATAGGGGTGAAAAGTAGTTCTAACTATGTGTGCTATAATTTGGTGATGTATCAGATATAATCGAAGACACTTGGTTTCTAACTGTGGACCCAGAATCCTATGTTAAACACTGCAGTTCAAAAGAGTTCGTGAAGTATATGATGTATTTATATTGTTTTATTCCAAAAAGGGTATTTCCTACTTCTGAACCTTTTTTAAACTGTTATAAAATAACAACCATATATTATTTTTAGTTCACAATTGCATAAACTAGGTCAGAATATAACTGCTATATTCTGTATTTTGTTTTTCAATTTTCTTAACCAACTAAGTAGCACTATTTGGAGGAGAGTAAATAATAGCATTGTCCCTTAAAAATTGCAGATTGCTTTAGATAACTGTAAAGTAGTTGCAGTATTCAAGATATTCCCACAATAAATATCAGAAAGCACAAGGGAATACAGCTGATACTAAGGTAACCCTGTCCAATTATCTTGCTAGAACTGAAAAATTTGGGGGATTTGGAATTCTAACTCCCATAGACTCCTTTGAAAATCCCAACCTAATTTCTTAGGCCTTGATCCACAAGATAAATCAATAAGAGAACTTATATATTTAAAGTTATGCATCTGCTGAAGTGCTTTGCTGGACTAGCACTTTATAGACATATGCAGAGATGATAAGAGGGTCTCTGGCTTTTTTATAGGCTTCATATCATAGGAGCTGTTACAGTGTATAACTGATTCATATACAGTAATTCCATCCATTTGTTACAGCAGTGCGGGACAGCAAAGCTACAGATCAAAGTCAGCCAATGTTTCTGTTATTTACAACAGGATTTAAAACTCATTTTACTGTGCAATGTGCAGGGATTTGATATAATGGATGGATTACAATTATCACGAATGGACATGATGTTCTCCATGTTACCCTGTCAGTTTGCAAGATAAGGTGTGTAACATTTACAACCACTTTGGATCAACCCCTGGTAACTAGAAACCATTGTTTCAATGTTTTAGCTCAGAAACATCCTCAAGTTAACCTAGGCTAGAGAAAATCATGATAAGTCATATTAAAAATGAGAAAACTTTTCACAAAACAGAAAATGCTTGTTTGGACACTTATTTTTATAATCTTCTAAATACTGTAGAAACTATTTTAGGGCCCAATACTGCCCAAAGAGTCAAGAACAGTGATGACTATTTTAATTGGTCCCAATGTAATCTATGGCACTGCTCATGGAAGTAACCATTACATTTGGTAGTGTTTGAAGAAATAATACTAAGAATTATTTGGCTATTTTTTATCAACCAAATGGCACATATGGTAGGGGAACCCTTATTACTATGGAGCTATGGATAAGGGAGTGATTTATGCTTGTGAGTCTCATTAATGCCAGCAGGAGATACTCCCTTATCCGCCCCACATCCTTAGTTGAAAACAACCCTAAATTGTTACTTAAGTGGGAAAAGGAAAGATTTTCTGAGCTAAGGTTTCCATTTCTCTCTCATCTAAGTCAACTGCAACTAAAGCAGGCACTAAAGATGGGTGAAATCCTATCCCTTTGGTACTTGGGGACCCAAGACTCAGCGGTACCAGAAATTTGATTCATGTTCTTGTCCCCATGAAGCCAGGATCTTCACCAGTGGGAAGAAGCTGTCTTGCCCTTCTGGAGCTCAGCTGCTAGCTAACTGCAAGCTGAATATTGTCCCAGCAAGGGGAGCCCCTAAGTTTGTCTTGCAGGGATAGGGGCTGAGGTTGATCAATAGCAAGAAATGTCACTGTGGATGACTGGAATGGAATGGAACCTTTTCTCCATCCCCATACAGACCTCCTCTCCCGCAGCCAGGTCTTCTCTCCTCCAACACATTTTCAGACAGATGACCTCCAATCAACCCACCCACAGCCAGATATCCCAGAAAAATCTCTTCCCTTCCACCCCACTCCCAGCTCCTCCCCTTCACCACGCCCAGATGGACCTTCCCAGACAGATCTACTCTCTTTATACACCTCCTCCCCTTGTCCACCTCCAGCCAGAGACTCCCAGTCAGACCTCCTTTCCTCAGCCCAGCCCCAGTCAGACCATTTTCTCCCTTCCCCCAGCTGAATGTACCTCTAGACAGATCTGTTCCCCTTCAATCACTTACTGCAGGGAGCCAGACACACTTCTGCTAGAACCCCCAAGCCAGACCAGTTCCTCTGGGCCCCCCCAAGCCCAATCAATCAGACCCATTCCTCCCTACTTTTCCCCTTGCCAGAACTCACCCTTCTATCCATTCGCACTCTCCTCAGCCACCCCAGTCAACCAGACCTTCTCCCACCCAGCTCCAACTAGCCAGACTCCCTACATCCTAAACCAGGACACTGCCAGCCAGACCCATTCCCTTCCACCGCCACCCACCAGACCCATCTCCCCACGACAGCCCCCAGACAGACAGATTTGAATACCTGCCCCCCCCCCTCCAGGAAGATCACTCTAGCCTGAAGGGCTCTCTTCTATCTCTCCAGCCCCACACCCATCCAGCTCCAGCCGGACCCGGACCCCTCAAGAGTTTGGTCCTCTCTTTCCCATCCTGTCCGCCTCCTCTAGCTAGACCTGTTCCCCTCCCAAACCTCTCCCTCTCTGCTCTCCCCACGGCCAGGCATCTCCCCCTCTGCCCCTGCCTCTCAGCCAGACACACTCACCCAGCCAGAGTCACTCCCTTCCTGACTATTGTCCATGGTCTTCTCCCAGCTAGACTCCCTCTCCGCCAGCCTCCACTACGCCCCCCCCCCTTCCTTTCTTACTGACCCGGGAAGAACCCTCAGCAAAAATCTGCTTCCCTCCAGACTTCTCTATTGGGCCAGATCCATCCCCTCACAGATCCCCCGAGTTAGTCCTTCCACACACGCTGCAAATACCCTCTTCTGAACCTGCCCCCCACTCCCTCCACATACTCCTTCAACGCCCCTATGCTCATCTAAGAATCATTATCCCGCTGTATTCCAGCGTCCCATTCCTTTTGTACCTAGGCAGGATGGGCTGATGGAAGATCTCGGGGGCAGATTTAACTCCCGTTCCCTTTGCTTGTCAGATTAAGGCTGGCACTGAATGCTCGCGGGTGTGGATTTACATCTAGGTATTCACTCGTGTTTATCTGGTACGTAGTCTTGCCTAAGCATCTTCCTTCAAGGGGGAGAAAGTTACTGACTCCGCGCTGACAATGCAAGGCTCGAGCAAAGACATTACATTCGGCGCAAAGTTAAAGGGCAGGCTCAATTTCAGTTTAATCCACCTCCAGTGGTACCCAAGCACATTTTAGAGCGTCGTTAGCAAAACTTCGGCACGTGCTCATCGGAGCCAAAGGGCAACATTCACAGAACTATTTGCAATGGAAGGGCCGTCCTATCCAAAGCTCGCTGCTCCGGTGCCCTCCACCCCAATGCAATTCCCCGGACATGACATAAACCCGGTTAAATGACATTGCTTGCCATTCTCCCATCTCAGGAGTTGTTGGCAATGAATTTAACAGCAAATGTGAGCGCAACTCAAATAAGCATGCTGATTATAAGCAGACCAGAGCTATATTTTAGATGCTCTCCTCCTGTCCTCCCTTCCCCAATACCCTCCTCGCCTTCCTTGTGATACAGATTGGACCCTATTTAGGATGCTGAAGCTCCGGATCTGGCTTCCTTTGCAGTGGGACCCCCTCATTCATTGAGCATACAGACAATCTCCTTACCTGGGATGGATGTCCACCAGCAGCACCAGTGTCTGCATAGTAATCACGTCAATCCGTTTACAGTGAAACCGTGCCACCTTCAGCACTTTTAGATAGGTGAAACACAACACTACGAGGGAGAGGAGGAAGCTGAGGATGTGAAAGACCCCCGTGAAAATCACAAACTGTGTCCTCTCCTCTGATCTGTTGTTGTACAGGGTGCAGGAGGCATAAAGGTGATGGAAACCCACCCAGGAGAGAGAAGCTGCCACTATAGGGAAGGACACAGAGTGTAGCCACGTGTAGCTGAGTATCAGAGCAGCATCTTTGTAACGCATTTTGGAATGATAACTTAGAGGGAAGACCACAGCTATCCATCTGTCTATGCTCAGCGCTGCCATGCTCAGCATGGAGTTGGTGGTCAAGAAAGTCTCCAGGAATCCCACCATGTGGCAAAACTGATCTCCCCCCGGTTGATTCTTGTAAATGATCCCAGTCAGGGTCAGGGGCATGTTCAAGACCGTCATCAACAAGTTGGAGAAGGTCAGGTTGAGGATAAACAATCCCGGGACCTGCTTGCGGATGTCGGCGCTGTACAAGAAGCAGATCAGCACCAGCACGTTGGACAGCAATGACACGAGGATCAGGACCACAACCAAGAAAGCCAGGATCACTTCCCAAATGTTCATGGTGCGTCCATTCACAGGAGGAACATTTCCCAAACTGCACCCAGCGGGCACCCAGAGAACATGGTGCGAGGCACTCTCACCTCCTCCTCCTCCCCTGCCTGCTCACACTCCGGCATGCCCTCAGTATTTTTAGAAGAACTGCAGTTCCCCCCCCCCCTCACCCTCCCCTCCCTCCGCTGCTTCTTTCCACGTCAACGCTTTCAGAGACGTGCACAAAAGCACTGGGAATGCCCGTCAAACGGCGAGGAGGGCTTAAAAAACACCAGCAGGACTGAACCACTGTCTCCACTCCTTCCATCCAAAAGAAGCAGGTTGTTCTGAGAAGCGGCTCTCCTGAGATTCCTAATTATCAGTCCCAGCAATTCACCGAGTGCATTTAGACGCTCCCTCTCCTCCTCCTTCTCTCCCCTCCCCTTTCAGGCTGAATCTAACCTGCTTTTAGGATCACAGATAAACCCCGATGAATTGATTAAAGCATGCACACTGCTGGTGCTTCGCAGACTTTAATGGGTCTGTCGTCCCTCCTCGCCCCTTAGAAAGCTGCAAGAGTGACTAGACTTTCCTCAGGAGAAATCGCATGCTTCTATTTAATCGATTTAGCCATTAATTTACAAACAACAGACACGTAACTGAGTTCCTAAACTCCAGTATTTTTCATGCATTTCACGGCATCTGTTTGCACAGTCACTAGTGTTCACCTAAGGCACAGGCTCTTCTTTGTATGGATTAGCTGTGCTCAAAAGGAGGGTCAGGATAAGGTATTCTATTACTATTCTTACAGTGTTATAGGGAAACAATAATAATTCTATAGCTTATACTTCTTTTCACCCATGGATCTCTGAGCAGCGTACACCTTTGTCCCCTTTTTAGAAAGGGGGAAATCAAGGCACAGAAGGGTAAAGTAACTTGCCCCAGGGTCACATAGCAGGTCAGTAGCAGAGGAACAGGACCCAGGTCTCCTGACTCCCTATGACAACATTTGTTTCATCATCAAAGGAATTAAAAGAGATTTATGGGTACAGATTTCCTTTCCTGTCACTTTAAAATTGCTCTAATTAAAATGCTTAAATGTTGCAAGCAAGCAATGCTGCATTCTGAACAAGGCAGTCAATTCTTAGTACTCCTGCTATAAGAATGCAAAATATACCCTGCTGCAGGGTTATGGTGGCTTAATAAGTGCATAGTACAGTCTGTGGGTGCAGGGACTACATTTTTTAAAGGATTTTTTACTGCTTACTTCTATCACTTGCACCGTACAGTTCATGGTTGATTTACAGTGTCTATTCATTTTAAAAATACCCAACCTCTAATTCACACAGTAGAAGAGCTGTCACCATCTACTGTATCAATGGCTTGTGTATTAGAGAAGAGCCCCATATTATTCCATCCAGGTGTTTCTTGCTTAACACAGATTTAACAAAGAGAAAGAGAAAAAAAATTAACCTACTAAGCCATATGAACATGCCATTAAAGTTCTTGGGCTCCTTTACCTCTAACATTGGGCAGAGGACACAGGCCCTTTACCTAGACAAAAGGCAAACTGGGAATCAAATGGTCCAGAGCATAAAGAGGCCCTAATTTTACAGTGCTCTCCCTCACACCAGGACAAAAGTTAAACATCCTTGTCACAGCGTGAATTATGCTTGTAAGGGAGTAAGACTCTAATTTCGGGTCTGTGCCTGAGTCAGCTGAGCAAGGGCCATGTGACAGCAGCATGTAGATAGTGCCTCCTGTTAGGGGGACTTTTGCTCAGTTAGGGGGATAGTAGGGACTGGGAAAGACCTGGCATAGATCTCTCCAAAGAGGCCCAGGGTGGGACCAGCATACCTCCCTGCCCAGCTGAAGCAGGAGTGTCAGAAAAGACTGATGGAGTATGACAGCAGGAGACCCAAGATGAGCAGGACATTCCAGACTGTCTCCATAAAGAGGCCTGGAGAGACTTCTGGTGTGAGAAACCTGGTGTCTGAAGCTGAGGTATCAGGGGTAGCTGTGGAGCCTTGGCATAGGGGCCAAATGGCCTGGGGATGTGCTGTTATAAGGGTGAGTGGGAAAGAGTTAAAGAATATGGGAGTTAAAAAATAAAGCAATACATTCAATTGCTTCCTCCCCTGATTCAGCCACTCATCCACCCTATCCTGCCACGTGTGCTCCAGGATTAGTACCACAGGGCAGGTCCATGAAGCAGTGCCTCCACTTCTCTGCCTCAGTGGCTGCAATTCCCCTTGGTTTCAGAGAGCTGTGGCAGGTGATTTCAGCACTGAAGGAGGAGGAGGAGGGGTGGGAGGGTAATGGGATTCTGTGGAGCAGAGGGAGGATACCACGGGAAAGGGGGTCTTTCGGGGGATGATAGAAATGGGAAGATAATGTGTTGGGGCTACATGAGAGACAGAAGAGGGACATCAGGATCAGGTCTGGTGGGAGGGCCTGGATGTGAGCAGGCCTGGTTTGACAATGGAGAAAGATGGTGTGTCAGTTTGTCAGGAGAGGCCCAGTGGGGGAGTGGGTTTGAATGAGGGAGACAGAAAAAGAAAAGGGACTTAGGTGGTGATGGTGGAGAGGATCAGGGTAGGGTGGGCTGGCAATGGTAGGGGACAGTAGGTCTGCAGTAAGAGTGGGTTAGAGTTTGAATTAGGGTTTTTCTTTTCAGAGATTATGTCCTCAAATTTTGGAGCAGATACACTCTTTTTCATACCAGAAACAAAGATTGAACACTTGCTTTAATTGCAAAATAGAACCCAGCCTTAACTGTGGAATTACTGCTGCTGCTCCTAATGTATTCCGCAAGAAAGAAACAGAATTCCTAACAGCTTCTAGGAGCTATTAATATTAAACAGGGGGCTGCAGTGTTGGAGGGACAACCTTTGGATGAGACATTAAATGAGACTGTCTGTGTAGGTGCTACCCATATGGCACGGGTTATAAAGTGCAGAGGAGAAACTCACTGTCCTGCTCACATTCCCTCTGCTGGTATGGTATGTTCTATTGTCCAAGGAAGTGTAGGCCATTACCACTATTTTACTTGACAATTCAGCTAATAAAGGTTAGTGAGCACTTCAGAAGTAACTTAGAGTGAGGTAAATCCTACCCCCACATCAGCAGACCAATGTGTAGAGGGAGCATGATGCAGGGAGTTCACCTGTAATGGGGGTAGTGTGAAGTGGATCAATGACTATAGGCATCCATGAGCCAACCCTCACCCCGTGTACTGGGGGCACAGAAGCCATGCAGGCTATTGAAGCTGAGAGGCTTCTAAAGCAGGTGTGCATTGGCTCTGTGGCCTCTCTCTGGCATGGAGGGGAAAAGCACATCATTCCCCAACCAACCAGAACAGCCTCATTTGTAGCACAATTCTGAGTTCATAATTGCTTTCTGATAGCACCCCCACAGGTGTGAGACAATCCAAATGGGTGAGGAGAGGGCGGGATAAGGACCTCATCTCTCTCTGCACTAGGTGACAGACCTGACCACCAGCAGAAGATGAGTGCATGTTAAGGGGTGTAGTAGCAGACTCATTCCTCCTTCATGCCCAGGAGTTCTTGGGGGTGTTGTCTATAAGGATCCTTGGGATCAGAACCCTGGGTCTGCAAAGCCTGGGGGAGCTGACATTCCCACATCACCACTCAGAGGCCTTGCAGAGCTACCTCCAAGGAGCACTGTGGCACTTAGGTGCCGCATGAAGTACCGCCCAAAGGGTCCAGAGTGACAACACCCTGCGACCCTCTGAATGGCCCATGGTCACTATTTAACCCTGGAGGGTGCCCCAGGAAGTTGCTGGGGTAATCATGCAGATTTCTGGCAGCCTGTGACTCCAGATCTCATCTCTTTTTCTGATCTCCAGCCTCTGACCCCAGCCTGACTTGGATCCTGACTCTTGCATCCTGATTCCAGCCTGGTAACAATCTCTGATCTCCGGCCTCTGACCTCAGCCTGACTCTTCCTTAACAGTCCTGGCTTTAGTGATTACTATGATCCCTGCTTGCTGACTACTGCCTTGTGGCCATCCTGTCCCGTACATTGTGTCTCTGATATGTTCCTAATGAGGAACTGTGTCTACCCACTAGGGCTGGACTTATCAAGCACAAAAAAGCCCTCTGTGTCTTATCTTCTTTATGCTGTGCTTATCACTATGGTATCTGAGCTCCGTATTACAAATCCTAAAGTTATATGGATCCCTGATTCTCTTTCCCTACCTCTCCCCATTGGTAAGTTGTTACTGCTGTTATTGTTGTTGTGGGAAAGCTACACTGAACAGTGAGTCTTGCATTTTGTGTGAAAGTGGTGAGGTAAACATTCCCTCTGTGAAGTATTCCTAGGTTTACTACTTCAAAATCTATTGAATTCACAAACACATTCTTCGTTATAGCAGATAAATTGTTTGGTTCCAGAGTAAAGAAACCGTCCTTATAAGGTCTAAAGAAACCGTCCTATAAGGCTTTGAGAACCAGTGGTTCTCAAAGCCGGTCCACCACTTGTTCAGGGAAGCAGCAGCCAGCACATCCCTTGGCCCATGCCATTTCCCGCAGCCCCCATTGGCCTGGAGCGACGAACCGCAGCCAGTGGGAGCTGCGATCGACAGAACCTGCGGCCGCGGCTGGTAAACAAACCGGCCCGGCCTGCCAGAGGTTTTCCCTGAACAAGCGGCGGACCGGCTTTGATAACCACTGGTCTAAATGATATATATTTACAGCAAAGCTCTTGTACTCCAATTGAAAATACAGATTTCAACAAAGAGCTGAGGTTTGCTGTCTATCGTTCACTCAAATTCCAATACATATGATAAATTGCTGAAGTCCAGATACTGTGCATACCTGTTCCCCCTTTTAGTTATCTCTGCAGCTGTGGGGTTATTATTTATTGTCTTTGGATTTAGCAGTTTATAGCTAAGAGGCGGTGATAGGATCCACAAAAAGTTCATATTGCATGTAGAAAGGGAAAAATGTGCTGTGAATATCCTTTGTCATTGCAGAGGCAGTAATGTGCTGTAAGACTTGATTGTAAGTTCGTTAGGGAAGAGACTGTACCTTTTATTCATCTGTTATATAGCCATGCAACCATATAAATATTATGAATATCTAGAACATTAAGCCAACTATTTACCAGTGACATCTGAAAACATGGTAGACCTTGATTT